CTCTAATATGTGCCGGTTGGAAACCGGCTATAGGTGCCAGTTTCCCAGCCGACACCTATACTCCCGGACAAAGGTGCCGGTTCTGAAACTGACACCTATAGAGATTATAGGTGCCGGTTCTTAACCCACAACCAGCACCCTCGCCCGCGTCGGCTGCCACCTCGCCGGTGCCAGCCTTCTCCACCGCTGCGCCACGCTGGAGGAGAAGAAGGGGGGCCAGCAAGATCCAGGCTATCCCGCCTCAGATCTGGAGGAGAAGAAGGGGGGATGGCAGCATGGCGGCAGAGAAGATGAGAGAGGGCCCCCGGGAGAGAGGGGGAGAGGGCCGACGAGCCTTCTCAACTACCACCATCGCCGCCACCGCCTCGCTGCGTCGCCCTCCGCTGCCGCCACCTCACCAGCACTGGCTACTACCTCGCCGCGCCCCGCTGGAGGAGGAGAAGGTGGAAGAGCCCTCGGGTTAGGGCCGTCGCCATGTCATCCGCAGTGACCGGCCTCTGTGCCACCTCCAGATCTCCATCGGTGCTTGGAGAGAGAGGGGGAGGGCACCGCCAGATAAGGAGGAGAAAGGGAGGAGGAAGGAGGACGGCGAGGTAGGCAGTGAGAGAGAGAGAGAGAGGAGGAGGAGGAGGAGGAGGAGGAGGCGGTTGTGTGGAGAGGATAAGGATAAGGCTGAGTTCGGTTCGGTTTGGTATGGGCACCTATTATAGGTTTCGGTTCTAAAGAAAAGCATGTTCTTTTAAAAAACTGGTACATGTTTTTCTTTAGAACCGATACCTATAGTGCTCAAAAGTGCTAGTTTTTTTTTTCATCGTACGGAATGTGGGAATAGGGTTATAGGTGCCGATTTTAAATGAACCGGTAGGGATTATGTGCATGGGCGAAGGTACAACAAGTCATCGGGGTCAGTCGACCTTGACGATTTCCTGCTCACTCCTTTACCGCTCTCTATTTCACAGGCTATGACCCCGTTTAAGAAGACAACATGACCCCGGTGTTCGGTGATATACTCCCTCCGTACTCGTAAAGGAAGTCGTTTTGGACAGCGACACGGTCTTCAAATCACAACTTTGACTTCTTGTTTCTATAAAAATATTTATTGAAAAGTGATATATGTATACTTTTATGAAAATATTTTTCAAGACAAATCTATTCATACAAATTTTACATTTTCAAACTCAACAACTTAAGAACTTAAGAGTTATTCATGATTTATATTTCCAAGGTTTGACTTAAATATTATCCTAAATGACTTTCTTTACGAGTATGGAGGGAGTATATTGATTCGTTAAAGCCCAATAATCAACTAGGAGAGACATTAGCAAATACTCCTACAAAATTAGCAAGCACTTGCATACAATGTATTCCTCCGAGTACCTAGCCTCACACGCTACACGGCACATTCTTTTTCTTTGCCTGTTCTGGCTTTTCACCCATGGTCATGGTTGAGTCTCAGACTTTTGAGTTTTTTTTCACTTTCCCAACTCATCGCTCTCATTTTTGGTGCGTACGCTTTTTTACAGTGTTAAATGATGCATGTTTTGAAAACAAAATCAATATAAAAGTTGTTTTAAAAAATCATATTAATTCATTTTTTTTAAAAAAAAAGGTAATACTTAATTAATCATGCGCTAATAAGTTAGTCTGTTTTGTGTGCGCGAGAGGTTAGTTCCAACCTCAACCAAAAAACACAGGGTTTTTTTTGAGTCGCACATCTAGCCAGAGCAACGCAGGCAAGGATCGGCGGATGGCAGTGGCGATTGGCGATGGCCAAGCTGCCGAGGGCACGAGCAGTCGAGCTGCGAGGTTCTTTAACGTGGATAACACTAGGACGATACGCATATATTCATGTTCAGTAATAAATTGATTACTTAATAGGCAATTCCAGAAAAGATAGTGCATCAAACACTGGTTGTACATCCCATTCTTTGGCTGTGTTTAGTTCAGCGTAAAGTTTGGATTTTGGTTGAAATTAGAGATGATGTGACTGAAAAGTTGTGTGTGTATGACAGGTTGATGTGATGGAAAAGGACTGAAGTTTGGATCCAAACTTTGATCTAAACACAGCCTTTTTCTAGCACCATTAGTTACTACTGACCCCATCAATCATTTATCCGCTTCACCCCTGATTATGTTGTGTTACATGCAGATTATAATGGGGCCATAATCTTGTTGGTGTTTGCGGGAGCACAAATAGGGAAGTACTCCCTCCGTTTCGTTTTATTTGACACCGTTGACTTTTTAGCACATGTTTGACCACTTGTTTTATTTAAAAAATTTAAATAATTATTAATTCTTTTCCTATCATTTGATTCATTGTTAAATATACTTTTATGCATACATATAGTTTTACATATTTCACAAAAGTTTCTGAATAAGACAAACGGTCAAACATGTGCTAAAAGGTTAACGGTGTCAAATAAAACGAAACGGAGGGAGTAAATCATAAGGCTAGAAATTTATCCGATTTTTTTTCTCTGAAATGTGTCTGATGTACCACCTCCATCTTAAACATACCTGATTAAGGTTAGACGATAATATATATAGCATTTTTTGAGAACGGAATGGACACCATACTTGAATGAGGGGTCCAACCAACGGCACGAGAAGCACGAGGCATGGTCCACGACAGCGCCATGCAGACAGCGATTCATCACTCCACACATCTCTACCAGCTCAGTGTTCTTGGCTTGTTTAATACTACCACCGTTTCACAATGTAAGTCATTTTAGCATTTTCCACATTTATATTGATGCTAATAAATCTAGACATATATATTTATTTAGATTCATTAGCATCAGTATGAATGTGAAAAATGCTATAATGACTTATACTGTGAAACGGTGTGAAACGGAGGAAGTACGTGGTACTACTCGATCGTGAGACTCTCGCCGAAGCATGCACACGCATCAACCATTCATATTATAGTATATGCATCATACACATACAAGATGCCAAAGACACAGACAGTAAAAGTATGCCATGCCACGTCCAGATCTGGTAGGATCCATAACTCGATACCGACAGCAAGAAGAGACTTTGAAGCTTCATTCTGGATGCAGGAGGGAAAAAAAATGACAAGGAACAAACTCGTCAAGGACAAACAAGATGGGAAGAAAGTGGAAAGGTTGGGATGTACAAATTCCAATCGATCAACGACGATCGATCGACGAGCTGACAGACTCTGATTGGTTTGTGCCTGTCGCGTGGCTGGAAATTTGTTGCCGAGTTCGTTGCGTCCGCGGGATCTCCTGCATGTTTGTGGAATGGAAACGAAAGGGATTGTGGAATTGTCGCCTTGTCTGCTTTTGCTGGCTAGTGTAGTTATCATCTCCGTTTTCTCACCGTGATGGATCTGATAGTGCACTGAGGGTACGAGGCAGCGCTGATAGAATCTGATGCATTCGTGATAGGATATCAATGGCACTTGTTACCCTTGTTAGCAGCCAAAGATTTATTTTTTAAGGTAAAGAAATACTACCTCCGTTCTAGGTTATAATACGTTTTTGACTTTGGTTAAAGTCAAATTGCTTTAAGTTTAACTAAGTTTGTAGAAAAAAACAATAACATTTTCAACCCAACATAAATATATTATGAAAATATATTCAATTATTGATTTAATAAAACTAATTTGGTATTATAAATATACTATATTTATCTATAAATTTAAGTTAAACTTGAAGTAATTTGACTTTGACCAAAATCAAAATGTTTTATAACCTGAAACAGAGAGAGAGTAGCGAAGTTTTCGTTAATTAATTTATCACAAAAATAATATTGCCAAATGTTTTATCCCAACAATCGAGTGAGTGCGGTGAGTCAGCCGCGGTGGCGAAGTATGCTATTGCTATTGTGTGAGCGTGACGGGCTATATGAGCAACTAGCTAGATGACAAACCATGTTCAGTAGGAGCACAAAAACATTTCTATGAACATATAGCGCCAAAAACTTATTTAAAAAATAGGCTATAATTTCAATGCTAAGTCTAATGGTGTTGAAATCCAACATATCAATGCTGGTGTCAGGAGTTGACACTTATACCATCGTGGTGCGCTAACTGAGCAAGAGGGCCGACGTGGCATGGTCAACATCAAAAGATTTGGCACTGACCTTCGACCCCAACCTGAGCACCAATGGGCTTGGTGTTGAGGTAGGAGACTTGGCCAGAAGCTCGATCAGGATGTGGTGTCCGGATCCTCTAGTGTCGTATCGCTTCAAGTTACAACAGCTGGACTCACATGTTGCTACTGACTCCATGCTCTTCCATACCACTGACATCCTCATTGAGCTCTATCGACTCCAGTGCCACAACGTCCTTGTCAAGCTCTAGAGTTTTTGGTCAAGTCATCTACGTCAACACCATGTCCATTGACGTGGGAGGTTGGGAGGTAATTAAGTGGCGGGAACCTCCTGCCATGCTGGTCCTCTAGCTCGCATAGGGCGCTAATGCGGAAGGGGTGTTAGCGTCAAAACATCTAGCGCTGAGATTTTGGGCTGCATATTTATTGGGAATAGCACTAAGATCATGTTTTATTCTAAAATATATTTTTGGCACGATTTATTTTTACAAAAGAGTCGAATTGTTAGAATTTGGTATGTCTGGCTGGCTGGCACCGTTGCCCACTATCGTGGAAGCATGCACACATGCGCTTGTGCGGTGGATATGCAAGCGTGCCCATACTTGGCTGTAAGCCTCTAACAATTTCTATGTGCATGTAGGAGATATGTATGTGTGAGTATTCTAGTAATGAACTGCACCAAAACCGTACGATGTTACTATTGATGTAGTAGAAGAAAATACAAAAGGAAAAGAAAAACTTATCCAGCTCACCCACAAGTCAACCACAAATGAACGGCACCACCACACACAAACCAAGGAGAAAAACTAACACCAAACCAACTATCGCTGCGAGACCGATCATCATTAGACCTACGACAAAGCCATATACCTCTCAATGCCGATAGAGCCAAACCACTAAAGGGTGCAAATGCATTCTATATGTGTTAAGTAGGTGCATTCCATTGCACTCTAAAAATTGTAATATTGCTGGGAATTGGCAATACATTATTAGCTACGTCTTCTCTGAAAAAAATAAGAAAACTAGATGACAGGAATTTAATGGACACAAAGAAAAAATATGACAGTAATTTCAGTAACCAAGGAGATCGAGTAGTAGTAAATAGTAATCCTGGAGTCCTGGACGCCCCAAATAATTAACTCAATCCTACTTCCCGGGAATCACCTGCTTCCAAGCAGGTGAATATTATTCTAGCAGGAATAATCCATAAGTAAAAACACAGTAGTAATTCTTTTCCACCCCAGCAGCTAGCAGCCAAGCAGGCCATCTCTATCTAGCCGCATTTTTTACTTGGGAGCAAGACTTCCTTGATCAGATTGTCCAGGTTGACCAACGACCTCCCGCCAGGCTGCGTCGCCCTCGCACCGAGCTCCTTCCACTCCGCCGCCCTCCGCCTCATCTCCTTCCCCTTCTCCCCTCCCATGGCCTCCCTGATCGTCGCCTCCACCGCCTCCCGCCGCACGCCGCCGCCCACCTCCATCCCGACGCCCCACTCGGCGCACGAGTAGCGCGCGTTGGTCTGCTGCTCGGCGAAGAAGGGCCAGCACAGCATCGGCACCCCGGCGCTGAGGCTCTCCATCGTCGAGTTCCAACCGCAGTGCGTCAGGAACGCGCCCACCGCCCCGTGCCGCAGCACGGCCTCCTGCTCGCACCAGCTCGCCAGGAGGCCCCTCCCCGCCACCGCCTCCAGGAACTCCCGCGGCAGCACGGCGGCGTCGCCCCTGACGAGGTCGGGGCGGACGATCCACAGGAAGCCGTGGCCGCAGTTGGCGAGCCCCCACGCGAATTCGACAAGCTCGTCGTTGGACATGGTGGTGATGCTCCCGTAGTTGACGAACACCACGGACCGGGGCTCCCTGCCGTCGAGCCACGCCAGGCAGGCGGTGTCCTCCTTCCAGAGGCTGGGGCGGATGGCGGCGGCCGGGGCGTCGGGGGCGACGACGCGGTCGGCGAGGCTGCCGAGCGGGCCGATGGTGTAGACTGGCGGGAGGATGGCGCGCATGGCGTCGAGCGCCTGCTGCTCCAGCTCGTCGAACGTGTTGAGGATCACGGCGTCCGCGCGGTCCGCGCGCTCCACCTCGTGGAGCAGGAAGTTGAGCAGGATGTCGCCGCGGTCCGTCGTCCAGATGAAGCTCGGGTAGTCCCGGTAGCGCATGTGCTTGCTCATCCCGCGCGCCGGCCGCGCCACCGTGTCCAGGAACCCGTTCGTCAGCTGCTCTTCATCTTCACGTACGTCGAACACCACACCACACCACAGAACGCGCGTCATGCATGCGTGCGAACCACTTCGTTCCTCGTTACGGTGTTTAACTTTAACAAGACGATGCATGTGGTGGTGTCATATGGTCGAATACCTTTGAGAGGCGAGAGGCCCTCGTCCAGGAAGAACCGGTGGTGGCGGTAGCCCATGTAGCCGCAGGCGCTGGCCGTCCAGAACAGCGCGCACGGCACGCCGAGCTCCTTGGCGGCGTCGACGGCGAAGCTCATGACGCCGTCCGCCACGACGCACGTCACGGGCGGGATCCCGGCCGCGCGGCTGCCGTCGAGGTCGACGAGCAGCTTCGTGAAGTGCGGGAGGCAGGTGGTCATGGTGGAGTAGCAGATCGACGCCGGGTCCTGCGTGGCGTCGGCGTCGGACGGCGGGAGGCCGTCGGGGATGGTGGCGAAGCGGAACCCCGGGACCCCGGCCACGGCGGCGGCGCCGCGGGAGCGGATGAGGCGGCGGTGGTTGTACTCGGTGTTGACGAACGTGACGTGGAAGCCCCTGCAGTGGAGCACCTTGGCCAGCTTCATCATCGGCGTGACGTGCCCCTGCGCCGGGAACGGCAGGCACACCGCGTGCGGCTTGATCTCGTCGGCGGCGACCATGTCGTCGTACGTCGTCGTTCGTCGATCGATCGGCTGGTGGAAACGAGATGCAGCGGTGTACGAGATGCAGCCTCTCCGATTGCAGGCACTGCACATATATACTACTAGCGTGTACTGTTATTCTAGTGTTGGTTGGTATACTCCAGCTTGGCCGGGGTCTCATCGTTAACGACTAAGACAAATTTTAGCCTGGTTAATGCAATACTTCAGCAAACGTAATTATTTGATTCCCAGCTTGTCGTTCTCTCACATCATTGGCCTAGAGAACTCTGACTTGAATAATGACTAACGTCTAAAATTTTCTTGAAACATAAATAATCATGTACAATGCGACACACACGACGTCATGACCGATATAGATTGCACAAGGACATTGTCATTGTTCACAATAGTCTCAAAAGTTTGAACGGCAAGAAGTATACTTGTGACATCTCGTCTCACTTAAAACAAAACCAAATTAATGCAGGTAGAGAAGAAAATTATTATTTTGCCTATGGAAACACACAATGTTGTGTGTGTTTTTTTTTAAGATAATGGAATGTATAGTACTCCAAGTTACGCATCTTATATTTAATAATGCTTCATATACGAAAAATGTGAATTTACAGTCTAAGTTACATGCATCTCCCATCTTTTCGGGGATGGATTGAGGCCATGTTTGAATTGAAGCTGATTTTAGTCCTACTGAAAATTTGATAACTTCAAAAGTACTGTCTTAATATTTGGTTTAAAATCAATTTTTACGCACATTAGCATAAATTCTATACTACTAAATTTAGTAGTGCCAAGATTTTGGCACTAGCAAAATATTGGCAGGGCCAAAATCAGCTTCAAACCATACAATCCCTGATTGTCCCGGTCTTCTGGGATTTGGCTTGGGTACTTAAATTTTATTTTACTGTTCTATTCTTTTTGGGTTGAAAGTTGAATCAGACTAGAGCAGGCAACAGGCCTTAGTGACTGTTTGGATCCAGAGACTAAAATTTAGTCCCTATCACATCCGATGTTTAGATACTAATTAGAAATATTAAACGTAGACTAATGACAAAACCCATTCCATAATCCTGGACTAATTCGCGAGACGAATCTATTGAGCCTAATTAATCCATGATTAGCCTATATGATGCTACAATAAACATGTGCTAATTATGGATTAATTAGGCTTAAAAAATTTGCCTCGCGAATTAGCTCTCATTTATGCAGTTAGTTTTATTATTAGTCTACGTTTAATACTTCTAATTAGTGTCCAAACATCCAATGTGACAAGAACACAAATTTAGTCTCTGGATCCAAAAACCACCTTATTCTTCAACCTAGAGATCCCAATGCGAAAAAAAAGAGCTAGATCCGTTCTAAATGCTTCGTTCATATCTATTCCATGAGTTGTTCTATGTTAGGCGGTGTTAGTATCTAAGGCCGAGTTCTTATGTTGAGGTTTCTAACCTTCACTTTCTCGTTTTTCGTGCACACGTTTTCCTAAACTGCTAAACAATGCATTTTTTAAAAAAAGTTTTATATAGAAAAAGTTGCTTTAAAACATATTAATCTAAAAAAAATTGAACCAATAATTAATTAATTATGTGCTAATAACCCATAAAAAAGCAAAACCTAATTAAAAAAAAGGAGATTTGAAGGGAGAAACGTCCCTCCAAACATTTTTATAAGAAGAAATTGTGAGTGCGTTGGAAATTGAACACGGAAAATCAGAGTTGAAACCACGCATCCCTTGCCACCACACTATCAAGTGTATCTCAAAGCACAACCTAATTGAATGAAAGCGAAGTTATGGCATAATAAAAAACATTAACGTATAATTAACTGAGTTTTAATTATTATAAACTTAAAATGTGAATTTATCTAATATTTTAGAGCAATTTATATATAGAAAGTTCACACGAAATATATCGTTTAATAGTATTAAAAAAGCATGCTAACGAAAATCAGGGGTAGAATATGCATCTTATTTATCAGAAAAGAACGAACCTTAGTGTTAGTGTTGCTGTGTTGGTGTGCTTCCCTCGTAAAGTTGTGCCTTTTTTCTAGATACTTGGAATGCGAAGACCAAAAATACCGAACGAAAAGGGTAAAGAAAGCGCGCCGGGCCGCCGCGGCGCGGGTTGTTCTTCCCATCTTAGCTGTTCGTTTTCAGGTAAGAACGTAAGCCTCTCAGCCCCATGCCTAAACACGTAGGTATCCCTGTGACCCTGTCTCTACAAGTTTGCCCATTATTGGTCATTGGATCAGTTCAACCTGACTGAGCCCGTCACATGATGACTAGTAGGATACACTATTTTCCTGGCGGAGTGACGTACTACTCCGCGATCGACTAACAAGCCATCATTTTCCCGTTGATACTCCGCGATCGATCGACCATTTAATTTCAAGCTGCCGCTCAATGTGGATCATCGTGAGATGGCGTTATCACCGAATAAAAAAATTGTCACACGCTTGGCACGCAGGAGCAAGTGACAAATGCATGCATGGCGCGCGGATTGGCAGCGCCATCAACGTGGTCTTGTTATGTCAGGAGAGAAGGTGACAGCTCGTGGTCGAGGACCAGCCAAGCGCGGGGCCAAGCTAAGTTTTCTCGTGTTTTCGATCAGTGGTGGCCGACTGACCGGTGGGAATAGATCGATGGCCAAAAGACCCACGACCCGGCCCATGGCACGAGGTTTTGGTCTGGTCCAATCACAGCACACACACGATTGGTGTCGGGCCAATGCTGGCCTGGCCTGACCATTGGGCTATGTCTGGGCCTCTGCCTCGGTACGATGGGCCGGCCCGGCATAGCACAATCCGATAATAAATGAAATTTAGAGATGCAAGATAGACTTATTTCAGCTACAAATGTATGGCCCAAAGTGCATGGGATGCAAAATAGACTTATTCTAATCATTTAAGACATGGCCCAACGAAATGAGAGGGTAAAATAGAATTATTCTGAGGAGCACGATGGACTTTTGTGCCTTCTGGCCGGCTAGACACGGCCCGAGTTTTATTGGGTCGTGCCTAGGCCATTGGTGCAGCTCGTGGACGGGCACGTTACGGCCCTGCCCGGTGTGTAGGTCGAGTCGTGCTGGTGGCCTGACCAATCTCTTGCCCGAACTCGGTCGTGCCCGAGCTGAGCTGGGTCGGTGGCCCATTTGGTCATCTATAAGGAAAGGAATAAGTTCACTTTATGACCCTCAAAAGTGATCGAAATCTAATCCGTGATCCTAAACCACAAAACCGGATATCTTGACCCCCTAACTCTTAAAATCGGTGCAATTTGACTCCCTCGACGGTTTTGGAGGGTGGATTCGCTGACGTGGTGCCTACGTGGCATCCCAGTCATCAAATAAATTTTAAAAAATAAAGTGGGACCCACCTGTCAGCGACTCCCCTCCTATACTCTATCTTCCTTTGTTGGCAGCAGCGGTCGGCGGCATGGGGGCGCAGCAGAACCAGGGGCGGCGGCTCGGCCGCGGAGGCTCACGGTAATGGGAGGACTAAGGGGACGACGGCGGTGGCTCACGGCAGTGGGGGGTAGAGGTACGGAGCGAGCATGGACCGGATCGGCGGCGGCGGTGGCAGTACGACGATGATAACACTGCCCGTGTGGAGAGGAGACTCGAGGAGAGGCCGATGCCGGAGGGGGAGAAGGAGAGTGAGCTCGTGCTGCTCGTCAAGGTCACCGCATTCGTGTCCGGCGGCTTCGTCGTTAGGTTTCAATTCAGCCACGTGGTGGCGGACAACCCCGATGCGACACAGTTCATGGTCACCGTCGGTGACGTCGCCCGCGGCGGATGGCGTCGCCGTCGAGCCCGTGTAGGGCCGTGATGAGAAAAATAGGAAAGATAGCGATACGCCGGCGACCTTCACCTCCTTCTCCGATTGATCAACAAGGCAACCAACCAAATCGATTGCTGCCAATAACCAAGCTGAAAGAAATAAAAATGGCTTTGTGTATTAGCTTCTCATTATCCTAATCGACGAGGGGATCGATCGCCACCGCAAGCGCATGGTCGCGCCGCCCCACTGCCGTCGCTGCGGCGCTACTCCTCGATCTCCGACGTAATGTGCCGCTCGCTGCTCATCGACGCGGCGCCCCCTGTCGCACGCGTCACCGGCGGCGGCGGCCAGGAGGTCTACGAGAACATGGCCTTGACCTGCATCAACAGCGCGACCACGTAGTTTGCCCAAGCAGCGCTGGCGCGGGGAGCATCCGGTAACGAGGTGGCCCAGCAAGCGGAGCCACTCCTTCACCATCGGTGGCTCGCCGGCGGAGGAGACGGCCGCGGATACTGTGGGCGCCGAGCTTGCAGGCGGCATCACGATGGTATGCTTGGAGGTGGTGTAGGCCCGGGCGTGCGGGCCGAGGCCGCCGCCGCTTTGGCCCTCGCCCACACGTCGTCGTCGCAGCGCCCGCCTGCGGCCGCCTCGCCCGCCGATCCGATCCAGAGAGATAAGGGAGAGAGAGGAGAGGAATGAAGGGAAGAGGATGACATATGGACCCACATCTCAGTGGGTCCTTTTTTTATGGCAAACGGGTCCCGCTCATATTTTTTTATTTTTGTACACGTAAGCGTCAAGTCAGCTTCACGTGGAGCGAAGATCGAGTCAATGCCGCCACGTATACGCCATGTCAGCAAAACCACCGAGGGAGTCAAATTGCGCCGGTTTAAAGAGTTAAGGGGTCAAGATATCCGGTATTATAGTTTAGAGGTACGATTCATATTCGACCACTAATTAAGGGAATCAAAGTAAACTTATTCCGTAAGGAAATCCAGTTTGACCAGGCCGGCCATGCGGTAGATGTATTGGGCCTCTTCATTTGTGGAGGTGCGCGGCTGTCACGAAAAGATGACATGTTAAATATATAGATGGGCCAAGGAATTGTGAATTACATGAGTGGTTTACCGTTTCGGCTACCTTTCTTCCTTGATTTGGTTTAGGGGACAAGGGGTGTAAAGTGCAAGAAGTTTGATTAGTCCTAAGCGAAAATTACAAAAAGATTAGGACACAACTATGGATCGGACGCCCGATTTTTCGCGTTTGAAATCGAGCGCTCTCCCTAACGTATAATGCATGCAGAGGCTGCAGTTACATAGCTTCCCAAGCAAAGCAGCTATACTGTATTGCAAGGATAAATAATGTATGTTAGGTTGGTTAAAGTCCTTTAGCAAATTTAAAACTATTTTTTCTTTTAAAATACTTCTTTGATCTATGATTCGATTGCACCATT